TACATGTAGGTCTCAGATGTTCCGTTATGCAATGTTATACATTTGTGAAACTACAACAAGCAGGAAATACTGCAACTAAAGTTTGGTGCGAATTTGGCAGCACAGATAATTACAGTCTAATTTTCTACCATGTAACTTTTTCAAGTATTTTCCAGGAAACAGTTTCCATTTGAAAAGAGATACATACAGCCACATTTCCCAGAGAGACACATGTAAAGTAGGTGGAATTAATTTTTTTTAATCTATCTAGAAACAAAGGAAAAGCAGAGGTTTCCTCCCAAACATCCAAACCCAGATGTAGATGAAAAATTTGGGTGGAGAAATTTTTGTGTGGGCTGCACAGTGGAGACATAACAGCAGCCAAGGGGTCCGGGTGCGGTGACTCATGCCTGTAATCCCAGCACTTTGGGAGGCCATGGCAGGCGGATCACTTGATGTCAGGAGTTTGAGATCAGCCTGGCCAACATGGTGAAACCCTGTCTCTACTAAAACAAAAAATACCCAAAAAAATTAGCCAAGCATTGTATCACACACCTGTAGTCCCAGCTACTTGGGAGGCTGAGGCAGGAGAATCTCTTGAACCCAGGAGGCGGAGGTTACAATGAGTCGAGATCATGTCACTGCACTCCAGCCTGGGTGACAGAGTGAGATCCTGTCTAAAAAAAAAAAAAAAAAAAAAAAAAAAAAAAAGTGGCCAAGTCATCAAGGAGGTGAGATGAAGGAGAAAATGAAAGAGGAAAAATTCCTAAAACAAAGTTCTAGAACAACTAAAAGAGCGGAATGAGAGTAATCATTTTAATTCAAGATGTTATACATAAGAATAACATGATCTAGACAAAACAAGAGAGAACATGACAGTCGACCCCCTATCACCACGAAATACTCAACTGTTAACCACAACAGTTGCATCCAGGATGAGATGATGGTTACCCTGTCTGAGTGAAGCTACTGTTTTGCTTCTTTCTTTGGTTGCCAAGCAACCTGTTGACCTCAATGTTCTTGTGTTTATACTCAAGTCAATGTGCTTGACGTTTATTTGTTCTGATATAAATAATTGTGTGCCTTAGTAGAGATACAAATTTACAAGGGTTAAAATGCTGGGTGGAATTTGAATATTAACACTTTCCCTTTAGGAACATCTGTTTCTCCCAGTCTTTTTTTCTCTTTGTGAATACAATTGTTTTGTTTACACAGTTAAGACCCCGGTGATGGGAAATATTTTAAGCTAAAGAAAGAGTGGGATCAGGAAGACAGACTGATCCCATATATTTTCTTTCTCTCCTTTCCAAAATTCAATTGAAACGAGATAAAATATATTTTAAAATTATATTACTTACCTATTGTTGTGTAACAGATTACCCCAAAACATGGGGGCTTAACACAAGTAACACGTTTTTGAATCTCACAGTTTGTGTGAGTCAGAAATGAGGAGGCAGATTTGAAACTTTCTGTTTTAGGATCACGCATGAAGCTGCAATCAAGATGCTGCTGGGGCTGCTGTCATCTGAAGATTTCGCTGGGCTTGGGGGTCCACCCTCAAGTTCCTGGACACGGCTGTGGGAGGGGACCTCAGTCCCTCATTGCACTGAACTCTCCACAGAGCTGTTTGAGTATCCCTTTGACATGACACCTGGTTTCTCCCAGAGGGAGTAATCCCAGGGACAGGCGACAAGGCAGAAGCCACAGGTGTTTTTCTTTTCTTTTTTCCTTTTTCTTTGTTTTTTTTTTTTTTGAGACGGTGTCTTGCTCGGTCGCCCACGCTGGAGTGCAGTGGCGCGATTTCGGCTCACTGCAAGCTCCGCCCGTCGGGTTCACGCGAAGCCACAGGTCTTTTATGACGTAGGCTCAGAAGCCACATGCCATCATTTCTGCCATCTTGTATTAATCATACAGACTAACTTGGATCCAGTGTAGGAGATGATTACATAAGGGATATGGGCTATCTTGAAGTCCGGCTACCAAAAAGCTAAATCCAAAACAGCATAGTAAAAGGGAAATGGTAGCCATCAGAAGATCTTTTGAATGATAGAAAGCAAGTAGAATTATAGGATATTAGAAATAAAAATTAGAGTCCTGGATCTATAAACTTACAGATGTAATCAAATTAATTCTCAGTGGAAAATGTATAGTTTCAATGTATTATTAGAAAACCTAAAAGATAAAAAATATATTATCTAAGTATTCAACTGAAGTAATTATAAAAACTTTTACTGGCCAGGTGCAGTGGCTCCTACCTGTATTCCCAGTGCTTTGGGAGGCCTGATGGGAGGATCTCTTGAGCCCAAGAGTTCAAAGAAGCAGTAAGCTGTAATCACATCACTGCACTCTAGCCTGGGTGACAGAGCAAGATCTATTGAAAAAAAAAAAAAAAAAAAAGACAAAAAGTTCTTATTAACTTCTGCTTTTATCTGAAATCAGAGTTTTAGAAACATCCGTTTCTTTTAAAAAGTCAATAAAATTAGCAATCCTTTAAAAGTCTAATCAAGAACAAAAGAGAAAAGATACAAATAAAAACTAAAACCAGATGGCGGAATAATACTTTAAAATTATAAGAAAGTGCTGGGTGTGGCAGCATGCGGCTGTAGTCCCGGGTACTCAGGAGGCTGAGGCGGGAGGATCACTGGAGCCCAGGAGTTCTAGGTTGCAGCGAGCTGTGATAGTGCCACTGCACTCCAACCTGCGTGACAGAGCAAGACCCTGTCCCCAAAATAAATAAATAAATAAGACAAATGAAAGAAAGACTGTGTATATCATTATGTTAATACATTTGAAAGTCTAGGTGAAATCAATTACTGTTCAAAAAAATATGAGTAAACAAGTTGTGGATTGCACGTCTATAATCTCAGCTACTGGGGAGGCTGAGGCAGCAGAATTGCTTGAACCAGGGAGGCAGAGGTTGCAGTGAGCCGAGATGGCGCCACTGCACTCCAGTCTGGGCGATGGAGCGAGACTCCATCTGAAAAAAGAAAATTCACATCTGAAAAAGAAAACAAAATATTCGCAACCCTAGAATTATTTGAAGAAGTAGCAAAACACCGCCCCCACCCCCACCACACACACACACACACCAAAAACTCACAGGAAAGAGCACCGCGTTCGCATGCGGTATAGCATACCACCATTTTGAGGAAGATTCACTCATTTTACTCAGTAACTATTTATTGAACTCCTTTTATGTTTTAGGAGCTGGGGATACAGCAGTAAGCAAAAAGAAGTTCCTGCCTGCAGAGAGTCTTTATTTTACTTCAGTGAGCAGAATAATAAAGCTTTCTGATTCATTTTTCTTCTTTTTTCTTTTCTTTCTTTTTTTTTTTTTTTTTTTTTTTTTTTT